CCTCTCAGATGTGCGTATAGTCTGCTGGAGGGAGGGCTATCATACTTAAAATGACAACGGGCTGTAGGGCCAAAACAGACCCTCAGCCTGGCCAACGGGCTGTAGGGCCAAAACAGACCCTCAGCCTGGCCAGGGTACTCCTGAGGTTTGAATGTGGCAGCGCGTTTGAGCTGGTCCTGATGGAGAACCCTGAACGCTGCTCAGTGTGTGTGCACGCACAGCACTGAGTACCCTAACGCTAATTGTGGAAGGACTTGCCATGCAGGGCACCTGAGCAGCCCTGACCATGTCATCATGTGTGTGCCAATGCCACCATGCACGTATGTTGCAGCAAAGAGCAAGTTGGCCTAACCGTTTAGGTCTGTAGCCTTCATGGCTGCAAGTGCCATTACAGCTTTCAGGATGATCTCAGATGAGTTGTTCCAAGGGAAGGAAAATTACCTGAGGGGTGGAGGGCATGGCCTAGTGCTTTAGCCACTGTGATACAAGACTCAGGAGTCCCCCATGTCAACTCCTTCCTTGACTGGCAGGTTGGTCACCAGAAAAGACCAAACCGTAGGAAGCTGACAGACCTTACTGTACCAGTGTTCCAAGTGCTGTAAGCAGCTTCTGGGGAAAAAAACCTCTCCATTTCATCTTTCCCTTCTTTGAGGCCACCTGACAAGTTTGAGTAGTAGTGTTTCAGGGGCACACATCCTCTGACACTGCAGAGGATGGCCATAAATGCCACCTCCCAGGAGGGCCCAGTCACCACAGCACTAATAGACAGGGGCATCAGTAATGCCATCCTCACAATGTAGACTGTAGTCTTGACGCCAAGGATGGTATTGCCTAGTGCTCCACCACTTCTCCCTTCTCAGGCCATTGAAGAAGGGAACCTGGATTCTCTGGACCACTCTGATTTCCAGAGCACAGACATTCCCTTTGAAGTGCCACTTCCAGCCCAACAGCATGTGCCTGTGAGTGTCATCTGCCTTCTTCAGTTCCCATGAACAGTGATGCTGCTTCAGGGCCCTCTCTGAAGAGGGACTGGGACAAGGGTGGGACAGCAGGCGCTACAGGAGATGTAAATGTATTCAGTACTGCCCCCTGCCCTGTGCCCCCCGCCTCCCCACCACAAACACACGTGCAGCACCAGTGCACACATACACACACGCGCGGGCGCACTCTTTTTCATGCTCCCCCCCCAACATACACGTGCTTGCGCACACATGCATACACCCCCCCAGATATGCACACGTGCACATCCTGCATGCATACTCGTGCCCTGCTCTCCCCAGTGTGCTCCCTAGTGCTGCGGAGCAGCAGCAGTGGAGCAGTGGCACAGCATGCAATATCAGGAGGTGAGCTGGCCTCTGCCCTGCAGGAGGAGAAGCGGGAGGAGGTCAGGGACTGGGTGCTCACCATGTCCATGGACCAGCGGCTGGAGCAGGTGCTGCCACAGGACGAACGTGATACCTATGAAGCCTCACTGGTGGCAGCAAATACAGGGGTGCGCTCCCTGCCCTGTGTGCTTACAGGTAAGCTCCAGGCCAGCTCTCACAGACGCAAGGGAGTACACGGTGCCATGCGCGGTCTGGGAGGGAGGCTATGCTGTGAGAGGAGTAGGGAGGCTGTGTGGCTGTGGGGACCAGTTTTGCTGGAGGAGAGGGAAGGACCCATTTTTTACTGTGAGGGTGACTGAGCACTGGAACAGGTTGCAGAGAAGTGGCATCTCCATACTTGGAGACAGTCAAAAGCCATCGGGACATGGTCCTGGGCAACCAGCTGTTGGTGGGCCTGCTTGAGCAGGGAGGGTGGACCATATAGACCCCAGAGGTCCCTTCCAACCTCAACCGTTCTGTGTTCCTATGATTCTGTGACTGCTCAGTCTCGCACAGCACTGCCTAGGAGAATGCCTAGGCTGGCCAACACTGACACACGTGCACATGCGCCGGCTGTCCCTGCTTTGCCCCCACTCTACAAAAGCTGTCTATTCTGGCAAGTACTGTCCCCGCACTTGCACACTTCGGTGAGGGATTGTGGTGCAGGACTTAGAGTGGGTCAGAGAAGCAGGGAGCAGGGGTGGGCCACCAGCAACCGGACTCTGGCTCCAAAGTTTGGGAGCAGGGTGCTATCATTTGACATACTCGGGTGTCCTTGCCAGAGGGTAGCTCAGCCTTCGCCTTCCTTTGATCCCACCACTGCGGGCACCCCCCTTCTTCATTCTGGTCTCTAAAAGCCAGAGGCGGCGTTGTTCCCCTGCGCTGCCCCATGGGAGCATCCCTAGCCAGCTGGCCCCCAGCAGAGAGGGAAGGGGTACACAAGGTAGGGGTCTGCTGTGTGTCCCAGCTTGTTTCTGAAGGTGTCACTGTGTGACCAGGGTACCCTGTGCTAAGGAACAAGATAGAGTTCAAGCGGCCAGGCCGAGAAGCCAACAAGGACACATGGAACAAGTTCCTGATGGCTGTCAAGGTGAGCCAGGCACCCCGTGGGGCAGGGGCAGGGAGTCAGGCTGCAGGGTGTGCAGCCCTTCATGCTGACAGTAAAACACTGTCCCCGCTGGGTGGAGAGGCGCTGAACCAGGGCAGTTTTAGCTCACCCTCCCTGTATGCTGCTGGGTGGGGATTAACCTCACTTAGGGAGCGGGGGCAGACCCAGCCCTGCCTGTGCAGCTCTGTCAGCTCCCAGGGGTGCACTTTGGCAGACGGTGACAGCACTGCCCCCTTGCCGGTGCCAAAACCTTTCATTCTGCAGACATCCCACAGCCCTGCGTGCCAAGATGTGCTCAAATTCCTCAGCCAGTGGTGTGGGGGACTCCCGAGCACCAGCTTCTCTTTCCAGTGAGCTGGACCATGGCAGCTTTCAGTCCTGTTCTTCAGCACTCTCCACTTCTACCCCCAATAAACATCTCTCAACCCTACTGTGCTCCTGTTTGTCAAGGGATGCTGAGCCCAGGAACACGTGTAGCTCCCAGGGCACAGGGCCGGAACCCTGTACGCGTGTCTCTCAACGTCAACAACGTAGCTATGCTAAACATGTGCCCTCCACCCTCACCCTGCTGGATGACTGTCACAGTGGAACCATGTATCTGTCTACATCCCTGTGCCTGGTGGGGGGCAAGCATGGAGATGGGCTTACACACCAGCTGCACGGTCCTTCCATCAGTGGGCCCAGCTCCCAGCAGGCATCCACCCTGGGGAGCCACTTACAGCAGCCAGTGTGAAAATGAAAAGTTTATTTACTCGGGGAAATAACAGAGGCTCACAACAAAGGGAGTCTTCACCTTCCACTCCTTAGCCTGCCTGACCACAGGCAGAGCAAGCTGACCCTGCCTGCTCTGCAGCAGGACCACCAGGACCCAGGCCAGCCTTGGCTGTTGCCATGCCCCAGCACCTCTGCCCGCCCCCACCACTGCATGTAAAAGACCGATGGAGCCTTTAGTGTGCCAGGAAGGCCCTTGCAGCTTGGGGAGAGAAGGGGAGAGCGTCCAGGGCCCATGGCACTTGCTGGGCAAAGGCTGCCTGGTGACTCTGGGCAGCTTGTGTCTGGAACCTGGAGGGTTTGTCCCAGGTGGGGTGGTGGGGCTGGAGGGGGGAAGGCACACCCCTCCCCCCTGCAGCCCACCCTGCCCACACCTACACCTGGGGCAGGAGCATGGTGCAGGTGCAACTTCACCTTGCTGGATCGCAGCACTCCTGCAGCTCCACCTGGGAGTGAAAGAGCACGCATGAGCGCAGGACTGTGCTGCAGGAGCGGGCATACGCTGACACCTCTAGCCAGTATCTGTAGCACGTGCTTGGAAAAAGAGACATTTCGGGGGCTGGTGTGGGCAGGGACCATGCACTGCACTCACCTCTCCAGTTAGGCACAAGACTCAGCCAGCCCTGCCAGGAGTTGCTGCATCTCACGTGGTGGCTCCTCCTTCGCTGTACTTGGCCCAGGCAGCTAGAGAGAAAAAAAACCCCACGCGTGAAGGGCTGGGGCAGGTCGGGGGGGTGGCGTTCGCGCAGAACAACCAGGACAGAACAGGCTTGGCTATGAGAGGGATGAGAGGAGCGTCCCTCTGCAACCACCCAAGATGAAGGGCTGCCAGTCTGTCACCAAGGATGGCTAGAAGAGGTTCAAACTTGACGTTCCCCGCCCGTCATTGCTGCACAGCCTGCTTGTATGGGAACAAGGGCCCAGCAGAACCCAGCACCTTCAAAACACAGCAAAAAGGCAGTAACAGTGGGGCAGAGGCAGGGAGACCTGTCCAGACTGATGGGACATACCTGCTGTTTGCCATAGCTGCGTGCACAGGGCCCAATGCCCTCGAAGATCAGAGCCGCCAAAGAGCACCTGCCAGACAGCACAGCTTCTGCGGCCGCCAGCACCATGGAGGGGAACCAGAGTGCCAGGGCTGTGTCCTGCAGAGCAGAGGGTCAGAGGTCCCTCAGGGAGCGTGGTCCACTGCGCCCAGCCTACCTGCACGCGGCTGCGCAGAGAGGCTGTGCAGGGGACGGGGGAGAGAAGGGGGAGAGAGAAAAAGAGAAAGGGAGAAGGCGGCAGAGGGAGAGGAAGTGAGGCAGAGAGAGGGTGAGCAAAAGAGAGAGGGAGCAAGAAAGAAGAGAAGGGAAGAAGAGAGGAAGCCAAGACAAAAAGAGGAAGAGTGGGAGGGGGTGAGGATGTGGCGGCCCTGCAGACTCACATAGATGCGTGTGGTGTTGAAAGGGCAGTCGTTGGTCGCTATGGCTGCACGGGCGTCAGCAGGCAGCGCAGAGCTGTTGCAGCCCGCAACAAGGTGCGTGCCCCGGCTATGAATGGTGAGGGCGATGGCCAGGGCCAGGCCCACGCTGCACGCTGTGGACAGGAGGCAGTTCAACAGGGACACACTCAGTAGGGTCCAATGCTGCAGGCAGCAAGGAGAACACATGAGAGTGGGGCTGGCCAGAGCCAGGGGAAATGCCAGGGCTAGGCACTGCCACCGCACGGGGCCAGGCACGCCGCGCCGCCGCACACCCACTCGGCAGGGTAACGGGGGTACTGGGAACCCCACAGATGTCTGCACCGAGCGAGCACATGCAATCTCTTTCCTCCTCTGCACGGCTCAGCCCTGCACTCAGATGAGCCTCTTGCACCTTTCGCATCCTTTGCCCCTCCCGTGAGCCCAGAGCCACCGGACGGCCCCTGCCCACAGGCTCCTGCACTCGGGGAGCCCCAGCACAGGCCCAGCTCCACTGAGAGCCAGAGCCAAGGCCCCCACCAGCAGCAGCCTCGCTCCGCGCCGGCCCACCCTCAGCGAGCCCCCAGAGCGATGCCCGACCTCGGCTGCAGCTCTGC